GAGATCGTGAGAGGAGGAAATGAGAGCTTGTGGGCTGTCGTGGAGCCAGGTTGAAAGGACTTCAGAGAACGGAGTGGGATGGAGACATGCTACTGAAGCCCTATGTTCCATTAGGAACCCAAGGGACTGATAATAAATAATAATGATAAGATCGAATCCCACTTCAACGAAAAAATGCGAAACCCCAGATAGTACTCAACAACAATGTATCAAGTGCGTAACGGGCAAGTGATACGTCCAAGTGTAATGTTCCTGTTTAACCTTGTCTTGGTAAAATACCTGACTCTAAAAGCCTTACACCGCGTACCACCAAGTGTCAAAAACTAGGTGAGATGGTACCAGCCGGCTAACACAGTCGGGTGGTAGATCCAGAGCTCACGCGAGTACGGCACTTCGCCAGTCGCCACGCCACTCAAGAAGAAAAAACGCAGACATGTGTTGCATAAACAAAACCGCATATGCCTTAAGAAATGTAACTGCAACAGTAGTAATTGAGCATTTCAGAACAGTCACTAGGGAGAACTTGTGATAAAATATGCTCAGATATGGAACAGCTTACCTAGGAAAGTGCGAGAATCAAACACTGACTGGGTTTATAAGACATTAATTCTACACTACAGGAAAGCACCACTATTACTGCTACTAGAACTAGAGACATATTAGGAACTCTCAATATTTAAACAATTTCCAAACTCACCTGCTTTTGTTGTTTCTCTACCAAAATTTCAGATGGTTGCAGCATGAAGATGTCATTAGACTATGAAGAAACTAGACTATGGTGAAAACTTACCGAACAATCTGGAAATCTGAACACTAAACGATCAAAGGGTTAAACTCGGACCCTCGAATACCCACATCATCAAGATAACCTTCAATGATGACAACAGGACACAAATGAGGAATATACTTTACTAGTTCTCAACATTCCATTTCTTTTCAAAACAATAAAACCATTACTCTACGAAAATTACTGTCCAATAAGCAAGGATTGCCAATCCCATTCACTCATTTCACCCTCTCACCATATGTACATTTATCTATCCTCGAATTGCTCAAATTTCTGGACGGCTTTAATGGCATCGGAAACCTGAACAGACCGTAAAATACAGGGGATAAACTCACTTATTAACTTTAAAGTGAACATATTAACAATAGCGACATACATCTGACTTCTCTAGTACTTCATCTAACAGTGAATACACCTCCTTGACAGTGCTGCATACCTTGACGTGGACAGTATGGAAAACTCATTGTCACTGGTCAGCAGTTTTTTCAAGTTTTTATTCCTTTTGCACCATCCAATCCATATTGCTATGAATGATAACACTTGGATTGCGTGGAAACTTACAGGTTCTCAACATCGTCAGTGTGGGTTCTTCTGGTACCCGAAGCTATAAAGATAAGAATTTATGGTAAAATAGATGTTTGTATGACTTGACGGGGCATCGCAAAGACGAATCAAACAGGTCGATTACTTGTAACGGAAATTTAGAATTTCGTGCTACCCTGGTGCCACCAATGGTGAAAAAGAAAGTATGACTGAAAATGATCCAAACATTAACACTCTGTATACGCTGAAAAGCTGTATTTTTTCGTTCATTTAATGACTTGTGTAATCTTCTGATGCCTTTAATCTAATTTAATGACCACCATTCCGTACCATTTAGATCCTATAAAATCTTGTAAGTTTTCCAACACATATCAACGTGATGATGCCAGTAAACTGGCTTCTCTCATGTTAAGCTGCTAATATGAGAATAAAATGTCTATTTATTTGTCATTATTATTTATCCTTTCCTGGCCAAAGGACTCCTGGCTTTTCATCTCCTATTCATTACTCCAACATCTGCAATGCCAAAAGAAACAGGAAGAAGCCCTCTCTTTCCTCTATCTCGCACTGTGGTTCATGGCATTTTGTGAGACTTTGTCTTTACAAGCGGGATAAATACAGAGATTATAATACTACCGACCACAAGGATGAATTTTGCAGGCAGCACCCATCACAAAGAACAGGCAGGTCACTATCTAGTCACCGTCAAGGATCGAGGCCCTAACCAGTTGGCAAATCTCTTAGTCTTACTGCTGCTTTTCAGGCATATGCGCCAGCGCAGAGAAAGTATATCACCATCCAGACTACAAATTGGCACAGCTTCAGATATCATGATTATTCCTGAGAAACTATGGCAGAAGATTAGCTGACCTTCTCTCTAGAAGACAGAACAAACTGCCGCCGGTACATGCAGTGGTCAACTACTACTAACAGGTCAGTTATCACGTACTGTATCTTTTCACAATACTTCGATAAGCTGAATTTTTGTCTATCTGATGCCGATTTAAAACTGAAATCGAAAATCTTGGTCTTTCGGACGTGCATCTACGCTTAACTTACAATCGGTCCAGGCGTCCATTGACAGTCACCGACACAAGACAGCGCCTCCAAAATATACTCAAACCCAGTCTCGGGCGTTGAACAGTATCCTGGGGTTCTCTATGCCTTTGAGACGATGCCAAACCCGTTTTTCGGCCCAAAAGACCTGTGCTTTGTGCATGACTACCATAGCTCAACGCAAAAATATCCCCTCTCGGAAAACAGAGTGTTGTCACACCATTCTTTTACTCTGCTTGGGGGGCTCCGGTTGTGGTTGCCAAAAGTTCAAATAGCTCTATTCACATATGTGCAGACTGTTCTATGGGACTTAATGCGGCACTAAAATAGCACCACTACCCACTTACAGAGGCGCGTGCTTCGCTAAAATTTACCTGGCTGGTGCATGTCTACAAGTCGAGATGGTACCAGAAGTCCCAGACTTATTAGTGGCAAGCACATATCGTGGATTAAACTAGTACTACCAACTTCCATTTGGAACTTAAACAGCTGCAGAAAGTCTGCAGCTAATAACAGATACCATATTATGTAGCATGCCCACGATAGCTGCGTATCCGGATGATATTCGCATTGTTGCGGCTTCCTCAGAACAGCTATGGGACTGACTTGATCGGGTGCCAAATGAGCAGAAGACAAATGTTTCCATCTTCGTTTCGAAAAATTCCAGTTCAATCCACATTCACTGAGACATCTGGGATTTATTTTTGTTGCCTGCGGCGGCCAACCAGACCCCAAAAATATTCGTGCCATACAGCGAGTGCCAGAACTGACTGACGTTCTCTCCCTTCGATCATTTTGGAGGCGGATTACTTATTATCCAGCATTGTTATTTGCATAGCATGCTGTGAAGATGCTGGTAAATCACCCCGTGGGTAAAAACTTTTCTTAGCAGCGTACCGGAGGATTCTCATCAGCCTTCCATCAGCTGAAATATATGTTATCATCAAACCCCCTGCTGATCCACTATCGCTAGTCGCTAAAGCCGCAGATGCATCGTCTCATGGAGCTAGAGCTGTAGCAGATGACAAAGAGAAAGGCATCACATATGCCTTCTGAACACAGTTTATCACAGACTGGAACAACAGTCAAACTGAGAAAGAAGCCGTGGTCATTGTTTTTGTGCCCGTCGTTCCCATGAGCTAATCTATGGCCGCAAATATACGATACATACAGGCTATAAACCGCTGCCGGCTGTTATTATTTCTGAATATGGTGTTCTAGTTTACTATGTAAATCGGCTTCAACAGTGGGACCTAACACTGATGGAATATGGTTTTGACGTTCAGATTCGGCGCATTCGAGTTTGGTCAAGCCAAGTCCTGTCCTGGGATCAACGAAGAAGAGGCACTGCAACAGTTTCAACGGGAGATTTCTCGGCTTTTGACCTAACTGTAGCCACCAGAGAGCTCCAAGTCACCACAGACGATATCCAGACCGCTTCATGCAAGGACAAAACACTACAGCGTGAAATTCAATTTGCTCTTGCCCGATGACCGAAGGAAACGTTCGTAGGTGGTCTTCAACAGCGACACCGTTGTAGAAACTCCCTGTGAATGATCAGCCACCGCTTCACACTTGAAAACCGGATCATACTCTTTCCGTCTCCGCGCAACCAAATCCTAATTCAATTTCATTCGGGTGACACTGGTATCGAATGCATGCAGTCAACCGCTGGCAGCTAAGTGTATTTGCCGCGGACGGACCAAAAAACCATGGACCGTGTCAACTGGCGCCCAGAACGTCAACGGGCCATCAAGCGTCTGCCACGACTATCAACAAAGCCGTGGCTAGGTCCCGAACGCCCATGGTATACATTTTGTGTCGATTTCACTGGAACCACTGGTGGAAATCATCATATTATTGTGATACAAGCCTACCAAAAATGGCCGGAGATCTCGCTTGTTTGCCGGCCGAACACAGCGTTTCTTCTATTCCCACAGCCTCCCGAAAACTACGGTTTTGCAAAACGGTTCCCAGTTTACATCCGCGGAATTCAAAGACTTCTGTCGTCTACATGGCATGAAGCATTCCGTCACCACTATACTAACCTCAGTTCAAAGGACGAGCATGTAAAACTGACTCGTGATCCGATAATAATACCAATAACAACAATAATAATAATTTGTTTTTCAAAATACAAGCACACACCGGCTCACTTCTGTGATTATGTATTTTACTAGTTTGGGGCTTTTGGCTGGTAAGACTTCATTGTTGAAAGGTAGTCAGCAAGTGTGTATAAGTTCTATTGATATACACAACAGAAAAAAATAATGGATACCGAGGGTTTCTATACTTGTCCGTCTATCACGAGGGTGAATTTCATTTGCATCTCGTAAGAGAAAGAAGTGTAGGAATGTAAAGGAAAAATGATCTGAAAATCCCTCCCGATCACCCTTATTTGATTGTATTGACATTTATTTTAACATTTTTACCCTCGTTATGGATGGTGTACCTTTGACCCTCGCCGGTGTAATGTTATTTGCTTGTTTAACTGTCTTATTTGACTTTACACTCGGTGTTTGCCCTTGTATGTTTGATACTTAATATGAATGTTTCAGTTTCCTATTATGTGACGCTAGAAGGTTGACAAGGTGATGTTTTACCGCGCCCGACATTTCGTTTTGGTTCAACTTACGGTTGTGCAGTGATTTGACTGTTTGTCTTTTGACTGTCTACTGGGAACGTTTGTTTGTTGATTTGATTCCTGTAGGCAGAGTTTTGATCCCTTTTGCCGGGAATATTCCTATTGACCGACAGGTATTTAACAGTTGTATTTTTTAACCAGTTTTTACCGTGTAGTACGTATTTGCACCCGAGAACGTTTTGGACTGTATAGTTACCCAACGGCACTGTTGAGGTATTTTTGTAATTTGACATAACTTATTGTTGCTTTGATAGTACCACAGATTTTGTTACGAATCTACTATTGAATTACTACAAACCGTGTTTTGATATTTCGATCCAACCTTTGACTGTGCGTCACTCGCGGAAGTTAGGAAGCTATACAGTAGAACGCAGGAACTAGTCAGATTCACGTCAGTTGGCACCGCCTAGCTATTTCCCGCGTTCAGGCCAAGATTATTGGATTCTGGCCGCTACAGTACTCAACAACCCGTCACTGCTGTACCTGGCAATCGCAAGGTGTTCCTTGAGTCAATTGCGGACGGGGAAGGTGACATGTCCATGGATCCGACCTCAGATACCAAGCAAGTCCCTCTTGATGTTATTTCATGCCGTGGCTCTGATAATGGTACAGGTATTGACTATAGTAAGACTAGTCCTTGTAGGACCTCTGCTCAGTTGAAGGTACGACAGTTGGATTCAGGGCCCCTCTTTTCTGGGAACCCGACAGTTTTCAAGTACCACAGACCTCTGCTGGAAGGAACCACCGGAAAATGTCGAATTGAAGAGGTCGGTCCGAACAAACACAAACGTTACTGAGCTCACTACTGATCCGATTTTGGCGTATCATTCGGACTGGGTGAGGCTGATTAAAGCTGTGGCATGGCTTAAGAGATATGTGGTCTACATATCCGTTATGTATTCGCGTCGCCAAGGTGTGTCACTGAATGTTGGCTATCTAACAGCCGATGAACTGGAAGCTGCTAGACATAAAGTATTATGTATGGTACAACAGGAGGTATATGGAGAATTAATAAAGGAACTCCGAGAAAAGGGTAGTTGTGAGACTGAAGAAGGTGAATTGCAAAGGTTGTCACCTATACTTGTGGATGGATTGGTCTGCGTCGGTGGGAGGTTGAACTATTCCGACTACCCACTTACTTTTAAGCATCCGGTTATCCTCCCCAGACATCACTTCGTGACTGAGCTGATCATAAGGCATTATCATATTATAGAAGGACATACTGGTACTTCGCAAGTCCTGGCCACTCTACGAAGAAACTATTGGATAATTAAGGGGATCAGTGCGGTCAAACGGGTGATAAGAAAGTGCATAGAGTGCCGACGATTGAAAGCTGCACTGGGTCAACAGATGATGGCCCCTTTACCGGTCTGTCGCGTGCAGAAAGGATGGTTTTGCTTCTCATCAGTGGGAATTGATTATTTTGGACCACTCATGGTTCGCCAGGGAAGAAGAGAGGAAAAGAGGTACGGGTGTGTGTTTACTTGTCTCCAGACGCGAGCCATACATTTAGAGGTAGCTTTCAACCTAGGCACCGACGCCTTTATAATGGCTGTAATGAGGTTCATAGGAAGAAGAGGAACACCTGCAGAGATATACAGTGATAATGGTTCCAACTTTGTTGGAGCGATTTCGGAACTAAGACAACTGGTGAGTGTGTGGGATAAACGACGAATCAATGATGCCATGGTGTCAAAGGGGATACGATGGAGTTTCAACCCCCCGCAAGCGAGTCATCGAGGTGGGATATGGGAAAGGATGATACGTTCTGTACGCAGGTTATTGATGGTCATATCCAAAGAGCAGACTCTGCACGATGATACATTAGCCACCTACTTCGTGGAAATAGAAAGAATTTTGAACAATCGTCCTATTGTTCCCATGACGACCGACCCAAAAGACGAGTTAGCTCTCACTCCCAATAGCTTATTGTTATTGAGAGATAGTGGAGGAATAGTCGTGGAGGGCACTATTGCCGATAATTACGTCAGACGTTGGAAACAAGTTAATTACTTAGCTGACGTATTTTGGCGCCGATGGATGAAAGAGTATCTACCATGCTTGCAAACTCGTCAGAAGTGGTTGGGAAGAAAAAGAAATTTCAAGGAGGGAGATGTGGTGATTGTGGCCTCTGAAAAAACACCACGTGGTTCCTGGCCTTTGGGAGTGATCGAAACATGCGAGAAGGACGAAGACGATTTAGTAAGAACTGTGATGGTGCGTATGAAGGAAGGTACCGTGAGAAGAGATATAAGAAAGCTTTGTCTTCTTGAGGGAGTAGAAGAAAGATAGAGCCACGGCTGAATACACAGAGGTGTTTTGCGTGTCTGGAGGGATTTTGGTGGCCGGTGTAAAGGAAAAATGATCTGAAAATCCCTCCCGATCACCCTTATTTGATTGTATTGACATTTATTTTAACATTTTTACCCTCGTTATGGATGGTGTACCTTTGACCCTCGCCGGTGTAATGTTATTTGCTTGTTTAACTGTCTTATTTGACTTTACACTCGGTATTTGCCTTTATATGTTTGAGACTTATTATGAGTGTTTCACTTTCCTATTATGTGACGCTGGACTGTTGATAAGGTGATGTTTTACTGCGCACGACATTTTGTTTTGGTTCAACTTACGGTTGTGCAGTGATTTGACTGTTTGTCTTTTGACTGTCTACTGGGAACGTTTGTTTGTTGATTTGATTCCTGTAGGCAGAGTTTTGATCCCTTTTGCCGGGAATATTCCTATTGACCGACAGGTATTTAACAGTTGTATTTTTTAACCAGTTTTTACCGTGTAGTACGTATTTGTACCCGAGAACGTTTTGGACTGTATAGTTACCCAACGGCACTGTTGAGGTATTTTTGTAATTTGACATAACTTATTGTTGCTTTGATAGTACCACAGATTTTGTTACGAATCTACTATTGAATTACTACAAACCGTGTTTTGATATTTCGATCCAACCTTTGACTGTGCGTCACTCGCGGAAGTTAGGAAGCTATACAGTAGAACGCAGGAACTAGTCAGATTCACGTCAGTTGGCACCGCCTAGCTATTTCCCGCGTTCAGGCCAAGATTATTGGATTCTGGCCGCTACAGTACTCAACAACCCGTCACTGCTGTACCTGGCAATCGCAAGGTGTTCCTTGAGTCAATTGCGGACGGGGAAGGTGACATGTCCATGGATCCGACCTCAGATACCAAGCAAGTCCCTCTTGATGTTATTTCATGCCGTGGCTCTGATAATGGTACAGGTATTGACTATAGTAAGACTAGTCCTTGTAGGACCTCTGCTCAGTTGAAGGTACGACAGTTGGATTCAGGGCCCCTCTTTTCTGGGGACCCGACAGTTTTCAAGTACCACAGACCTCTGCTGGAAGGAACCACCGGAAAATGTCGAATTGAAGAGGTCGGTCCGAACAAACACAAACGTTACTGAGCTCACTACTGATCCGATTTTGGCGTATCATTCGGACTGGGTGAGGCTGATTAAAGCTGTGGCATGGCTTAAGAGATATGTGGTCTACATATCCGTTATGTATTCGCGTCGCCAAGGTGTGTCACTGAATGTTGGCTATCTAACAGCCGATGAACTGGAAGCTGCTAGACATAAAGTATTATGTATGGTACAACAGGAGGTATATGGAGAATTAATAAAGGAACTCCGAGAAAAGGGTAGTTGTGAGACTGAAGAAGGTGAATTGCAAAGGTTGTCACCTATACTTGTGGGTGGATTGGTCTGCGTCGGTGGGAGGTTGAACTATTCCGACTACCCACTTACTTTTAAGCATCCGGTTATCCTCCCCAGACATCACTTCGTGACTGAGCTGATCATAAGGCATTATCATATTATAGAAGGACATACTGGTACTTCGCAAGTCCTGGCCACTCTACGAAGAAACTATTGGATAATTAAGGGGATCAGTGCGGTCAAACGGGTGATAAGAAAGTGCATAGAGTGCCGACGATTGAAAGCTGCACTGGGTCAACAGATGATGGCCCCTTTACCGGTCTGTCGCGTGCAGAAAGGATGGTTTTGCTTCTCATCAGTGGGAATTGATTATTTTGGACCACTCATGGTTCGCCAGGGAAGAAGAGAGGAAAAGAGGTACGGGTGTGTGTTTACTTGTCTCCAGACGCGAGCCATACATTTAGAGGTAGCTTTCAACCTAGGCACCGACGCCTTTATAATGGCTGTAATGAGGTTCATAGGAAGAAGAGGAACACCTGCAGAGATATACAGTGATAATGGTTCCAACTTTGTTGGAGCGATTTCGGAACTAAGACAACTGGTGAGTGTGTGGGATAAACGACGAATCAATGATGCCATGGTGTCAAAGGGGATACGATGGAGTTTCAACCCCCCGCAAGCGAGTCATCGAGGTGGGATATGGGAAAGGATGATACGTTCTGTACGCAGGTTATTGATGGTCATATCCAAAGAGCAGACTCTGCACGATGATACATTAGCCACCTACTTCGTGGAAATAGAAAGAATTTTGAACAATCGTCCTATTGTTCCCATGACGACCGACCCAAAAGACGAGTTAGCTCTCACTCCCAATAGCTTATTGTTATTGAGAGATAGTGGAGGAATAGTCGTGGAGGGCACTATTGCCGATAATTACGTCAGACGTTGGAAACAAGTTAATTACTTAGCTGACGTATTTTGGCGCCGATGGATGAAAGAGTATCTACCATGCTTGCAAACTCGTCAGAAGTGGTTGGGAAGAAAAAGAAATTTCAAGGAGGGAGATGTGGTGATTGTGGCCTCTGAAAAAACACCACGTGGTTCCTGGCCTTTGGGAGTGATCGAAACATGCGAGAAGGACGAAGACGATTTAGTAAGAACTGTGATGGTGCGTATGAAGGAAGGTACCGTGAGAAGAGATATAAGAAAGCTTTGTCTTCTTGAGGGAGTAGAAGAAAGATAGAGCCACGGCTGAATACACAGAGGTGTTTTGCGTGTCTGGAGGGATTTTGGTGGCCGGTGTAAAGGAAAAATGATCTGAAAATCCCTCCCGATCACCCTTATTTGATTGTATTGACATTTATTTTAACATTTTTACCCTCGTTATGGATGGTGTACCTTTGACCCTCGCCGGTGTAATGTTATTTGCTTGTTTAACTGTCTTATTTGACTTTACACTCGGTATTTGCCTTTGTATGTTTGAGACTTATTATGAGTGTTTCACTTTCCTATTATGTGACGCTGGACTGTTGATAAGGTGATGTTTTACTGCGCACGACATTTTGTTTTGGTTCAACTTACGGTTGTGCAGTGATTTGACTGTTTGTCTTTTGACTGTCTACTGGGAACGTTTGTTTGTTGATTTGATTCCTGTAGGCAGAGTTTTGATCCCTTTTGCCGGGAATATTCCTATTGACCGACAGGTATTTAACAGTTGTATTTTTTAACCAGTTTTTACCGTGTAGTACGTATTTGTACCCGAGAACGTTTTGGACTGTATAGTTACCCAACGGCACTGTTGAGGTATTTTTGTAATTTGACATAACTTATTGTTGCTTTGATAGTACCACAGATTTTGTTACGAATCTACTATTGAATTACTACAAACCGTGTTTTGATATTTCGATCCAACCTTTGACTGTGCGTCACTCGCGGAAGTTAGGAAGCTATACAGTAGAACGCAGGAACTAGTCAGATTCACGTCAGTTGGCACCGCCTAGCTATTTCCCGCGTTCAGGCCAAGATTATTGGATTCTGGCCGCTACAGTACTCAACAACCCGTCACTGCTGTACCTGGCAATCGCAAGGTGTTCCTTGAGTCAATTGCGGACGGGGAAGGTGACATGTCCATGGATCCGACCTCAGATACCAAGCAAGTCCCTCTTGATGTTATTTCATGCCGTGGCTCTGATAATGGTACAGGTATTGACTATAGTAAGACTAGTCCTTGTAGGACCTCTGCTCAGTTGAAGGTACGACAGTTGGATTCAGGGCCCCTCTTTTCTGGGAACCCGACAGTTTTCAAGTACCACAGACCTCTGCTGGAAGGAACCACCGGAAAATGTCGAATTGAAGAGGTCGGTCCGAACAAACACAAACGTTACTGAGCTCACTACTGATCCGATTTTGGCGTATCATTCGGACTGGGTGAGGCTGATTAAAGCTGTGGCATGGCTTAAGAGATATGTGGTCTACATATCCGTTATGTATTCGCGTCGCCAAGGTGTGTCACTGAATGTTGGCTATCTAACAGCCGATGAACTGGAAGCTGCTAGACATAAAGTATTATGTATGGTACAACAGGAGGTATATGGAGAATTAATAAAGGAACTCCGAGAAAAGGGTAGTTGTGAGACTGAAGAAGGTGAATTGCAAAGGTTGTCACCTATACTTGTGGATGGATTGGTCTGCGTCGGTGGGAGGTTGAACTATTCCGACTACCCACTTACTTTTAAGCATCCGGTTATCCTCCCCAGACATCACTTCGTGACTGAGCTGATCATAAGGCATTATCATATTATAGAAGGACATACTGGTACTTCGCAAGTCCTGGCCACTCTACGAAGAAACTATTGGATAATTAAGGGGATCAGTGCGGTCAAACGGGTGATAAGAAAGTGCATAGAGTGCCGACGATTGAAAGCTGCACTGGGTCAACAGATGATGGCCCCTTTACCGGTCTGTCGCGTGCAGAAAGGATGGTTTTGCTTCTCATCAGTGGGAATTGATTATTTTGGACCACTCATGGTTCGCCAGGGAAGAAGAGAGGAAAAGAGGTACGGGTGTGTGTTTACTTGTCTCCAGACGCGAGCCATACATTTAGAGGTAGCTTTCAACCTAGGCACCGACGCCTTTATAATGGCTGTAATGAGGTTCATAGGAAGAAGAGGAACACCTGCAGAGATATACAGTGATAATGGTTCCAACTTTGTTGGAGCGATTTCGGAACTAAGACAACTGGTGAGTGTGTGGGATAAACGACGAATCAATGATGCCATGGTGTCAAAGGGGATACGATGGAGTTTCAACCCCCCGCAAGCGAGTCATCGAGGTGGGATATGGGAAAGGATGATACGTTCTGTACGCAGGTTATTGATGGTCATATCCAAAGAGCAGACTCTGCACGATGATACATTAGCCACCTACTTCGTGGAAATAGAAAGAATTTTGAACAATCGTCCTATTGTTCCCATGACGACCGACCCAAAAGACGAGTTAGCTCTCACTCCCAATAGCTTATTGTTATTGAGAGATAGTGGAGGAATAGTCGTGGAGGGCACTATTGCCGATAATTACGTCAGACGTTGGAAACAAGTTAATTACTTAGCTGACGTATTTTGGCGCCGATGGATGAAAGAGTATCTACCATGCTTGCAAACTCGTCAGAAGTGGTTGGGAAGAAAAAGAAATTTCAAGGAGGGAGATGTGGTGATTGTGGCCTCTGAAAAAACACCACGTGGTTCCTGGCCTTTGGGAGTGATCGAAACATGCGAGAAGGACGAAGACGATTTAGTAAGAACTGTGATGGTGCGTATGAAGGAAGGTACCGTGAGAAGAGATATAAGAAAGCTTTGTCTTCTTGAGGGAGTAGAAGAAAGATAGAGCCACGGCTGAATACACAGAGGTGTTTTGCGTGTCTGGAGGGATTTTGGTGGCCGGTGTAAAGGAAAAATGATCTGAAAATCCCTCCCGATCACCCTTATTTGATTGTATTGACATTTATTTTAACATTTTTACCCTCGTTATGGATGGTGTACCTTTGACCCTCGCCGGTGTAATGTTATTTGCTTGTTTAACTGTCTTATTTGACTTTACACTCGGTATTTGCCTTTGTATGTTTGAGACTTATTATGAGTGTTTCACTTTCCTATTATGTGACGCTGGACTGTTGATAAGGTGATGTTTTACTGCGCACGACATTTTGTTTTGGTTCAACTTACGGTTGTGCAGTGATTTGACTGTTTGTCTTTTGACTGTCTACTGGGAACGTTTGTTTGTTGATTTGATTCCTGTAGGCAGAGTTTTGATCCCTTTTGCCGGGAATATTCCTATTGACCGACAGGTATTTAACAGTTGTATTTTTTAACCAGTTTTTACCGTGTAGTACGTATTTGTACCCGAGAACGTTTTGGACTGTATAGTTACCCAACGGCACTGTTGAGGTATTTTTGTAATTTGACATAACTTATTGTTGCTTTGATAGTACCACAGATTTTGTTACGAATCTACTATTGAATTACTACAAACCGTGTTTTGATATTTCGATCCAACCTTTGACTGTGCGTCACTCGCGGAAGTTAGGAAGCTATACAGTAGAACGCAGGAACTAGTCAGATTCACGTCAGTTGGCACCGCCTAGCTATTTCCCGCGTTCAGGCCAAGATTATTGGATTCTGGCCGCTACAGTACTCAACAACCCGTCACTGCTGTACCTGGCAATCGCAAGGTGTTCCTTGAGTCAATTGCGGACGGGGAAGGTGACATGTCCATGGATCCGACCTCAGATACCAAGCAAGTCCCTCTTGATGTTATTTCATGCCGTGGCTCTGATAATGGTACAGGTATTGACTATAGTAAGACTAGTCCTTGTAGGACCTCTGCTCAGTTGAAGGTACGACAGTTGGATTCAGGGCCCCTCTTTTCTGGGAACCCGACAGTTTTCAAGTACCACAGACCTCTGCTGGAAGGAACCACCGGAAAATGTCGAATTGAAGAGGTCGGTCCGAACAAACACAAACGTTACTGAGCTCACTACTGATCCGATTTTGGCGTATCATTCGGACTGGGTGAGGCTGATTAAAGCTGTGGCATGGCTTAAGAGATATGTGGTCTACATATCCGTTATGTATTCGCGTCGCCAAGGTGTGTCACTGAATGTTGGCTATCTAACAGCCGATGAACTGGAAGCTGCTAGACATAAAGTATTATGTATGGTACAACAGGAGGTATATGGAGAATTAATAAAGGAACTCCGAGAAAAGGGTAGTTGTGAGACTGAAGAAGGTGAATTGCAAAGGTTGTCACCTATACTTGTGGGTGGATTGGTCTGCGTCGGTGGGAGGTTGAACTATTCCGACTACCCACTTACTTTTAAGCATCCGGTTATCCTCCCCAGACATCACTTCGTGACTGAGCTGATCATAAGGCATTATCATATTATAGAAGGACATACTGGTACTTCGCAAGTCCTGGCCACTCTACGAAGAAACTATTGGATAATTAAGGGGATCAGTGCGGTCAAACGGGTGATAAGAAAGTGCATAGAGTGCCGACGATTGAAAGCTGCACTGGGTCAACAGATGATGGCCCCTTTACCGGTCTGTCGCGTGCAGAAAGGATGGTTTTGCTTCTCATCAGTGGGAATTGATTATTTTGGACCACTCATGGTTCGCCAGGGAAGAAGAGAGGAAAAGAGGTACGGGTGTGTGTTTACTTGTCTCCAGACGCGAGCCATACATTTAGAGGTAGCTTTCAACCTAGGCACCGACGCCTTTATAATGGCTGTAATGAGGTTCATAGGAAGAAGAGGAACACCTGCAGAGATATACAGTGATAATGGTTCCAACTTTGTTGGAGCGATTTCGGAACTAAGACAACTGGTGAGTGTGTGGGATAAACGACGAATCAATGATGCCATGGTGTCAAAGGGGATACGATGGAGTTTCAACCCCCCGCAAGCGAGTCATCGAGGTGGGATATGGGAAAGGATGATACGTTCTGTACGCAGGTTATTGATGGTCATATCCAAAGAGCAGACTCTGCACGATGATACATTAGCCACCTACTTCGTGGAAATAGAAAGAATTTTGAACAACCGTCCTATTGTTCCCATGACGACCGACCCAAAAGACGAGTTAGCTCTCACTCCCAATAGCTTATTGTTATTGAGAGATAGTGGAGGAATAGTCGTGGAGGGCACTATTGCCGATAATTACGTCAGACGTTGGAAACAAGTTAATTACTTAGCTGACGTATTTTGGCGCCGATGGATGAAAGAGTATCTACCATGCTTGCAAACTCGTCAGAAGTGGTTGGGAAGAAAAAGAAATTTCAAGGAGGGAGATGTGGTGATTGTGGCCTCTGAAAAAACACCACGTGGTTCCTGGCCTTTGGGAGTGATCGAAACATGCGAGAAGGACGAAGACGATTTAGTAAGAACTGTGATGGTGCGTATGAAGGAAGGTACCGTGAGAAGAGATATAAGAAAGCTTTGTCTTCTTGAGGGAGTAGAAGAAAGATAGAGCCACGGCTGAATACACAGAGGTGTTTTGCGTGTCTGGAGGGATTTTGGTGGCCGGTGTAAAGGAAAAATGATCTGAAAATCCCTCCCGATCACCCTTATTTGATTGTATTGACATTTATTTTAACATTTTTACCCTCGTTATGGATGGTGTACCTTTGACCCTCGCCGGTGTAATGTTATTTGCTTGTTTAACTGTCTTATTTGACTTTACACTCGGTATTTGCCTTTATATGTTTGAGACTTATTATGAGTGTTTCACTTTCCTATTATGTGACGCTGGACTGTTGATAAGGTGATGTTTTACTGCGCACGACATTTTGTTTTGGTTCAACTTACGGTTGTGCAGTGATTTGACTGTTTGTCTTTTGACTGTCTACTGGGAACGTTTGTTTGTTGATTTGATTCCTGTAGGCAGAGTTTTGATCCCTTTTGCCGGGAATATTCCTATTGACCGACAGGTATTTAACAGTTGTATTTTTTAACCAGTTTTTACCGTGTAGTACGTATTTGTACCCGAGAACGTTTTGGACTGTATAGTTACCCAACGGCACTGTTGAGGTATTTTTGTAATTTGACATAACTTATTGTTGCTTTGATAGTACCACAGATTTTGTTACGAATCTACTATTGAATTACTACAAACCGTGTTTTGATATTTCGATCCAACCTTTGACTGTGCGTCACTCGCGGAAGTTAGGAAGCTATACAGTAGAACGCAGGAACTAGTCAGATTCACGTCAGTTGGCACCGCCTAGCTATTTCCCGCGTTCAGGCCAAGATTATTGGATTCTGGCCGCTACAGTACTCAACAACCCGTCACTGCTGTACCTGGCAATCGCAAGGTGTTCCTTGAGTCAATTGCGGACGGGGAAGGTGACATGTCCATGGATCCGACCTCAGATACCAAGCAAGTCCCTCTTGATGTTATTTCATGCCGTGGCTCTGATAATGGTACAGGTATTGACTATAGTAAGACTAGTCCTTGTAGGACCTCTGCTCAGTTGAAGGTACGACAGTTGGATTCAGGGCCCCTCTTTTCTGGGAACCCGACAGTTTTCAAGTACCACAGACCTCTGCTGGAAGGAACCACCGGAAAATGTCGAATTGAAGAGGTCGGTCCGAACAAACACAAACGTTACTGAGCTCACTACTGATCCGATTTTGGCGTATCATTCGGACTGGGTGAGGCTGATTAAAGCTGTGGCATGGCTTAAGAGATATGTGGTCTACATATCCGTTATGTATTCGCGTCGCCAAGGTGTGTCACTGAATGTTGGCTATCTAACAGCCGATGAACTGGAAGCTGCTAGACATAAAGTATTATGTATGGTACAACAGGAGGTATATGGAGAATTAATAAAGGAACTCCGAGAAAAGGGTAGTTGTGAGACTGAAGAAGGTGAATTGCAAAGGTTGTCACCTATACTTGTGGATGGATTGGTCTGCGTCGGTGGGAGGTTGAACTATTCCGACTACCCACTTACTTTTAAGCATCCGGTTATCCTCCCCAGACATCACTTCGTGACTGAGCTGATCATAAGGCATTATCATATTATAGAAGGACATACTGGTACTTCGCAAGTCCTGGCCACTCTACGAAGAAACTATTGGATAATTAAGGGGATCAGTGCGGTCAAACGGGTGATAAGAAAGTGCATAGAGTGCCGACGATTGAAAGCTGCACTGGGTCAACAGATGATGGCCCCTTTACCGGTCTGTCGCGTGCAGAAAGGATGGTTTTGCTTCTCATCAGTGGGAATTGATTATTTTGGACCACTCATGGTTCGCCAGGGAAGAAGAGAGGAAAAGAGGTACGGGTGTGTGTTTACTTGTCTCCAGACGCGAGCCATACATTTAGAGGTAGCTTTCAACCTAGGCACCGACGCCTTTATAATGGCTGTAATGAGGTTCATAGGAAGAAGAGGAACACCTGCAGAGATATACAGTGATAATGGTTCCAACTTTGTTGGAGCGATTTCGGAACTAAGACAACTGGTGAGTGTGTGGGATAAACGACGAATCAATGATGCCATGGTGTCAAAGGGGATACGATGGAGTTTCAACCCCCCGCAAGCGAGTCATCGAGGTGGGATATGGGAAAGGATGATACGTTCTGTACGCAGGTTATTGATGGTCATATCCAAAGAGCAGACTCTGCACGATGATACATTAGCCACCTACTTCGTGGAAATAGAAAGAATTTTGAACAATCGTCCTATTGTTCCCATGACGACCGACCCAAAAGACGAGTTAGCTCTCACTCCCAATAGCTTATTGTTATTGAGAGATAGTGGAGGAATAGTCGTGGAGGGCACTATTGCCGATAATTACGTCAGACGTTGGAAACAAGTTAATTACTTAGCTGACGTATTTTGGCGCCGATGGATGAAAGAGTATCTACCATGCTTGCAAACTCGTCAGAAGTGGTTGGGAAGAAAAAGAAATTTCAAGGAGGGAGATGTGGTGATTGTGGCCTCTGAAAAAACACCACGTGGTTCCTGGCCTTTAGGAGTGATCGAAACATGCGAGAAGGACGAAGACGATTTAGTAAGAACTGTGATGGTGCGTATGAAGGAAGGTACCGTGAGAAGAGATATAAGAAAGCTTTGTCTTCTTGAGGGAGTAGAAGAAAGATAGAGCCACGGCTGAATACACAGAGGTGTTTTGCGTGTCTGGAGGGATTTTGGTGGCCGGTGTAAAGGAAAAATGATCTGAAAATCCCTCCCGATCACCCTTATTTGATTGTATTGACATTTATTTTAACATTTTTACCCTCGTTATGGATGGTGTACCTTTGACCCTCGCCGGTGTAATGTTATTTGCTTGTTTAACTGTCTTATTTGACTTTACACTCGGTATTTGCCTTTGTATGTTTGAGACTTATTATGAGTGTTTCACTTTCCTATTATGTGACGCTGGACTGTTGATAAGGTGATGTTTTACTGCGCACGACATTTTGTTTTGGTTCAACTTACGGTTGTGCAGTGATTTGACTGTTTGTCTTTTGACTGTCTACTGGGAACGTTTGTTTGTTGATTTGATTCCTGTAGGCAGAGTTTTGATCCCTTTTGCCGGGAATATTCCTATTGACCGACAGGTATTTAACAGTTGTATTTTTTAACCAGTTTTTACCGTGTAGTACGTATTTGTACCCGAGAACGTTTTGGACTGTATAGTTACCCAACGGCACTGTTGAGGTATTTTTGTAATTTGACATAACTTATTGTTGCTTTGATAGTACCACAGATTTTGTTACGAATCTACTATTGAATTACTACAAACCGTGTTTTGATATTTCGATCCAACCTTTGACTGTGCGTCACTCGCGGAAGTTAGGAAGCTATACAGTAGAACGCAGGAACTAGTCAGATTCACGTCAGTTGGCACCGCCTAGCTATTTCCCGCGTTCAGGCCAAGATTATTGGATTCTGGCCGCTACAGTACTCAACAACCCGTCACTGCTGTACCTGGCAATCGCAAGGTGTTCCTTGAGTCAATTGCGGACGGGGAAGGTGACATGTCCATGGATCCGACCTCAGATACCAAGCAAGTCCCTCTTGATGTTATTTCATGCCGTGGCTCTGATAATGGTACAGGTATTGACTATAGTAAGACTAGTCCTTGTAGGACCTCTGCTCAGTTGAAGGTACGACAGTTGGATTCAGGGCCCCTCTTTTCTGGGAACCCGACAGTTTTCAAGTACCACAGACCTCTGCTGGAAGGAACCACCGGAAAATGTCGAATTGAAGAGGTCGGTCCGAACAAACACAAACGTTACTGAGCTCACTACTGATCCGATTTTGGCGTATCATTCGGACTGGGTGAGGCTGATTAAAGCTGTGGCATGGCTTAAGAGATATGTGGTCTACATATCCGTTATGTATTCGCGTCGCCAAGGTGTGTCACTGAATGTTGGCTATCTAACAGCCGATGAACTGGAAGCTGCTAGACATAAAGTATTATGTATGGTACAACAGGAGGTATATGGAGAATTAATAAAGGAACTCCGAGAAAAGGGTAGTTGTGAGACTGAAGAAGGTGAATTGCAAAGGTTGTCACCTATACTTGTGGGTGGATTGGTCTGCGTCGGTGGGAGGTTGAACTATTCCGACTACCCACTTACTTTTAAGCATCCGGTTATCCTCCCCAGACATCACTTCGTGACTGAGCTGATCATAAGGCATTATCATATTATAGAAGGACATACTGGTACTTCGCAAGTCCTGGCCACTCTACGAAGAAACTATTGGATAATTAAGGGGATCAGTGCGGTCAAACGGGTGATAAGAAAGTGCATAGAGTGCCGACGATTGAAAGCTGCACTGGGTCAACAGATGATGGCCCCTTTACCGGTCTGTCGCGTGCAGAAAGGATGGTTTTGCTTCTCATCAGTGGGAATTGATTATTTTGGACCACTCATGGTTCGCCAGGGAAGAAGAGAGGAAAAGAGGTACGGGTGTGTGTTTACTTGTCTCCAGACGCGAGCCATACATTTAGAGGTAGCTTTCAACCTAGGCACCGACGCCTTTATAATGGCTGTAATGAGGTTCATAGGAAGAAGAGGAACACCTGCAGAGATATACAGTGATAATGGTTCCAACTTTGTTGGAGCGATTTCGGAACTAAGACAACTGGTGAGTGTGTGGGATAAACGACGAATCAATGATGCCATGGTGTCAAAGGGGATACGATGGAGTTTCAACCCCCCGCAAGCGAGTCATCGAGGTGGGATATGGGAAAGGATGATACGTTCTGTACGCAGGTTATTGATGGTCATATCCAAAGAGCAGACTCTGCACGATGATACATTAGCCACCTACTTCGTGGAAATAGAAAGAATTTTGAACAATCGTCCTATTGTTCCCATGACGACCGACCCAAAAGACGAGTTAGCTCTCACTCCCAATAGCTTATTGTTATTGAGAGATAGTGGAGGAATAGTCGTGGAGGGCACTATTGCCGATAATTACGTCAGACGTTGGAAACAAGTTAATTACTTAGCTGACGTATTTTGGCGCCGATGGATGAAAGAGTATCTACCATGCTTGCAAACTCGTCAGAAGTGGTTGGGAAGAAAAAGAAATTTCAAGGAGGGAGATGTGGTGATTGTGGCCTCTGAAAAAACACCACGTGGTTCCTGGCCTTTGGGAGTGATCGAAACATGCGAGAAGGACGAAGACGATTTAGTAAGAACTGTGATGGTGCGTATGAAGGAAGGTACCGTGAGAAGAGATATAAGAAAGCTTTGTCTTCTTGAGGGAGTAGAAGAAAGATAGAGCCACGGCTGAATACACAGAGGTGTTTTGCGTGTCTGGAGGGATTTTGGTGGCCGGTGTAAAGGAAAAATGATCTGAAAATCCCTCCCGATCACCCTTATTTGATTGTATTGACATTTATTTTAACATTTTTACCCTCGTTATGGATGGTGTACCTTTGACCCTCGCCGGTGTAATGTTATTTGCTTGTTTAACTGTCTTATTTGACTTTACACTCGGTATTTGCCTTTGTATGTTTGAGACTTATTATGAGTGTTTCACTTTCCTATTATGTGACGCTGGACTGTTGATAAGGTGATGTTTTACTGCGCACGACATTTTGTTTTGGTTCAACTTACGGTTGTGCAGTGATTTGACTGTT